TGAATGGGTATCGATACCCTACATGTAGTATCAATACCTTAGGCAAAGGTAGTACCGATACTACCATGAAGGCTCAAAACATCGAATGCAAAATAGGTACCGATATCATGCAAGGGTATCGATACCATAGTGCAAAGTAGTATCGATACCCCTTAGGCAGTATCGATACAGTATCGATACTACAAGGCTCCAACAGATAGTAACGGCTAGTTAAATTTGAAATTAACAAAGGTAGTACATACCCTATGAAGGAGTATCGATACTTCCTATTCTGGATAGCCTTATTTTGCAGAAAATTAATTCCCAACGGCTATATACGACTTCAAACTCATTCCAACCTATAAAAACAAGCTGAGAACACTTGAAGAAGTAAGAGAACAACTATCCAAGCAATCAAACACAAGAGAAGCGTTTTTCATTCTTATTTCATCTTTCTCTTGTAAATATTTATATTCTTGTGAGCTTAATTCTTGTAAACACCTACCTTAGAGAGGTTTTCTTGTTTACATTTCCTTTCATTGTAAAAGGGTTTTGGTTCTAGCTAAGCCTGCTAAAAGCTAGGGAAAGGTTCTAGTTTAACCCGTGAAAAACTAGGGAGTTTGTAAAGGTTATCTTTTTGTCCTGTAAAAAGAAAGAACAAATTAGTGAATTTGTTGGTGAGGAGCTAAGGTAGTGGATGTAGACTTGGTTGAGAAGTCGAACCACTATAAATCGCTGTGCAATTTTCTATCTTTCAATCTTCTTACTCCATAAACACAAAAACCGACCTGACCCCTCTTGGCGAATCCCTTCGATTGTCGATTCGAGCTTCCGCAAAATCCCAACACAGTCCAACACAATAGAGTATGACATATACACCCATGCAAATCCTCAAACGGTGCCACCTAAATACTTGACTAATAACTATTATTGTACGCAAACTCGATAATGAGAAATAATGCTCCCAAGAACCAATGAAACGCTATGCTAAAGAAAAACATGTATCACTCGTTAAATTCAAACTTAATTTCCTAGAAAATCTCCTTAGATCGTGCTGACTGAGTTGTTTCAGAATGCTCCACGTGCTGACTGGACCTTCTAGAAACTGCCACGTCAACTGTGTCATGCCCAGTGTCATGCACATGTCCTCAACCGCGATCGAATAATAAAAAATTGAGAATAACGCCCTTTTTCTGCTGATTTTGGGAAGTAAACCTCTACATGAAAATAAGCAAAACATAACCAAATCAGCAGTAATAAATTCATATGAGAAATTAACAAATAAAAATTGACAATTTAGAACGCTAATCACTATGCCAGACATTACGTTTGGCGTTCATACGTTGAGACAATTCATGCAGCATCCAAAAAGATCACACATCGATGTTGCCTTAAGGATTGTAAGATATGTTAAGAAGAATCTGGGGCAAGGGTAGCATAAAATATCTTATTAATCGATGGGAAATATCTAGTAGTATATTCTGGTCGATGAGATTCCACCTTCCTCAATAGTTGGTCCCTCCCTAAATATCTTGCGAATGATACTTGGAGGCGACTCCCAAAAACATAGGAAACTTGTAACTTATTAATCGCACGATGGGCATCAATAATATTATAGAGTCTAAAAACCCGAATCTGCAGCCACTCTTGCTCTTCTTCATTGGAATGAAAGAATCCACTTCTTCCTATTTCCCAAAAAAATGTCCATAGTCTATTCCTGTGGAAATACGCTGTTAAGTTTTGCACAATGAGAGAGACCTGATTGCATGTACTTCCCATTTCTCTGTAATTCTTGTACCATCGATCTCTTGGCTCTAGCTAACTCCGAAACTTGCTAAACTAATATTACACTCCATATTTATATAATTTATTACTTAATCGAGAGAGCACTTTTTTTTGTGTGGAGATGGTGAAGAAGCAATGAAAGAATTTAAAAGAAGTTTGATCATCTATATAATGTCATCATTGCGTCTCTCTTGTTTAATTATATTACATATATGGGTTATATTTCACATATATACCTAATAATAAATCAAAATTCACATGCAATCAGTTTTGATCAATAATATTATTTAACATGTATGACAACCGCTAATTCTTATTAAAGAGATCCACACATTTGATCATGTTATTTCATAGAGTAGCCCATGTGTCAGAACATTGATCATTAGCTATCATACATGAAGAAAGCTGAAGCCATTTCTCCGGATGATTTCAGACCAATTTCCTTGGTGGGTAGTTTGTATAATATCGTTTCTCGCATTTTGGCGAGGAGGTTGGGTAGTTACATCACTGACGTGATTGGAGAAAATCAGTTCGCTTTCATTCGTGGAAAGCAAATTTCCGACTGTAGTCTAATTGCTAATGAAGTAATTGACGGGCTGTTGAAAAGTAAGAAAGAAGGAGTGCTGATTAAGGCTGATTTTAGTAGAGCTTATGATACGGTTGATTGGCAGTTCTTAAACTTGATTCTTAAGAAAATGGGGTTTGGCAAAAGATGGAGAAATTGGGTTTACTTTTGTATTTCTACCCCTTCTATCGATGTCCTAGTTAATGGATGCCCGTCAAGTAATTTCTCAATCAAGAGAGGCCTTAGACAAGGTTGCCCGCTTTTGCCGCTACTTTTTAACATTGTAGGTGAGGCGCTAAGTGGCTTGATAAAGAAGGCGTTAGATTTGGGTCTTTGTTGTGGAGTGGAAGTTGGGGCTGGGGGCTTTATTTTATCTCATATCCAATTTGCTGATTTTTTCTGCTCCAAATCCTATGTCAATTTTGAATTTTAAACGGGTACTAAAAATATTTGAAGTGGCTGCTGGGTTGAAGTTGAACATGGGAAAAACTAATATATTTGGCATCAATGTGGAAGAAAGTAGAGTGAGAATCTGGGCAGATTCGATTCTTTGTGGTTGGGTTGAGCTTTCGTCGACTTATTTGGGGTTGCCTCTTGGCCACAAGAAGAATTCTTTGTCTCTATGGAATCCCATCTTAGACAAAGTAACAACTTTCATTTGGTGGGAGGTTAACTCTTATTCAATCTGTACTCGTTAATCTACCTATTTATTACATGTCCATTTTCTTTGTGCCTAAGTCTATTGCGGACAAGATTAATAGATGCATAGCGAATTTTGTCTGGAATGGCAAGTCGGATAGGTGTATCCATTGGATTAAGTGGGAATATGTGTGTAGACCAAAATCCCTTGGGGGGTTGGGTATTTTCGATGTTAAAACTAGAAACCGTTCCTTGCTTAACAAATGGATTTGGAGGTTTAGTATGGAGGAGGATAGCTTATGGAGGAAGATCGTAGTAGCCAAGTATAATTATGATCAAGAAGACAGTTCCTAAAGCAGATAGTTGTCGAAAATATTCTTGGGTATAGCGCAATATTGTCAATCCAAATGGGTCGGGGGACTTTGTCTTTCTCTCGGATTTGAGATGTGTTATGGGCAACGGAATAAGATTGATTTCTGGTCAGATTTTTGGACAGAAAAACCTCCCTAAAAATCTCTTTTCTAAGAATCTTTAGTATAGTAGTTAAAAAATACAGAAAGATCAAGGAATTTGGATGTTGGATTCAGGGTAGATGGGCTTGGAGAATTGATCTCAGAAGAAGATTATTCGAATGGGAAATTCCATTATGGAATGAGTTTAGGCTTGTTCTGAATAGAGCGGTTAGTGTGCATAATGTCCTGACTCAGTAATTTGGTCTGGAACACAGGATGGCCAATATAATCCTAAAGCATTATGTTCTATAGTGGCTTCCCAAGGCACTTCGGCTGATCCAGTTTGGGGACTGGTTTGGTATAAATTTGTTCCGCCTAAAGTTTCAGCCTTTGTGTGGAGAGCAGTGCATCTTAGACTACAGGTTATGCTTGAGCTGGTGAAAAGAGGTATTATTTGTAATGATCGGTGTTTGTGTTTGTTTTGCAATCTTGAGCCGGAAGCGGTTAACCACATTCTTTGTCATTGCGTTGTTGTATGGAGAGCTTGGCAACGATGGTGCAGTGTGTGGAATGTTAACTTAGTGTTTCCTATGAATGTCAAGCAATTGTTAGAGGTCTGGTTTGCTCAGAAAATTAGGCAACGAGTGAGGGTGATTTGGCGCATCGGGTTTTTTGGTTTCATTTGGATAATTTGGATTCATAGAAACAAATCCAGATTTAAAGGCTACTCCTATTCGGCTGACCAAATCTTCAATCACGCGTTGCTGCAGATAGGGGTTGGGTTCATTACCTGTGGCCGAGATTAATTCCAGTGGTGACTGATTTCGTTAGTAATCCAGAAGCGATAGTTAATGGTGTACGGTAATGGAGATCCTCGGTGCTGTTTGATAGGGTCCCAGTTTACTATTTTCCGAAACTGGTTCTTGGATTATGCTGTTGTATTGTGATAGTTTCCTATTGTTCGCTTGTATCAGTTTTGTCTTTCTGGTCCTTGTTTTGGAAGTCGTTTTCAAGATGTTGTGTTGACGGCTCCTCATGAAGATTTTGGTCATTGAATTGGATTGCTTTGTGCTGATGCTCGGGTTCGTTAGTCCGGGCTGACATCTATGGCGACATTTTAGTTCTATTCGCGTTGTGTTCCTTGTTCGTTCATCCACCTTTCTGCTGTTTTAGCATCCTTGTTTGGTGTTTCGTTCTTTGGAGCAGTGGTATTGTGTCCAGTTTCCTTGTTAGAACCTTGCTGATTTGTTTTATGGTTTGGAGGCTTTTTCAGGGTTTGTCATTGTAAGGATGTGTGTACTCTTTTGTATATCATTCAAGGGGTTGTTTAAGTACGGCTTGTTGTTTGAGAAAATAGGTCTTGTCTGTATATTCTAGTCCACCCAAGGCTCACTCTTTTTTCCCATATAGGTTTAGGGGGTTTTTTAATGAGATATTTGGGGTGTACTTTATATTTTGCGAATTCAAATACGAAGTAACATTTTTACAAAAAAAAACTATCATACATGATTTATTCACCTCTCTATAAATTTAAGTTATAAACCCAAAACAAAATCAAACATCAAATACAATTTGCAATCATGATAATCGTTATCATCATGAATTCAATGAACAAGGTTTCTTTTCTTCTCCTCACCATCTTCGTATTCCACCTCATCTCCTCTATTGTCGTTTTCGAAGCCAATCAGAACGACTCTAAACCTAATGCGGAGAATGATACCGAAGCCGATGGCAAGGAGCCTAAACCTAATACTGAGAATGCTATCGAAGCCGATGGCAAGGAGTCTAAACCTAATGCAGAGAATGTCGTCGAAGACAAAAGCAAAGAGCCTAACCCTAATACAAAGAAGTTTTGTGTGCCGAAAGATCAAGCTTCCGATGCTGATTTGCAGAAAGCCTTAGATTGGGAATGTGGCCAAAGCATTGATAGCAATCCAATTAAGCCGAGTGGCCCTTATGGTAACCCATCCACTGTCAAATCCCGTGCGAAATTCGCCATGAATTCTTACTACCGGTCTAAAGAAGGAGGTCCTAGAGCTTGTGATTTTAGTGGAACTGCTACTCTCGTTCCTGAGGATCCAAGTAAGCTCAAAAATATTTGGTCAAATTTTGCTTTTATTCCATATACTATGGTTTTTTTTCAAAAACAAAATCACGTTTTAGGGTTTAAGAATTGAATTTTTATCATCCATTTTAACAATAAATGTCATTATTGTTGGTAAATTTTAAAATTGTTCACACAACTATTAATAATTTATTATTAACAAATCCAATTAAGAAAAAAAGGTTAAATTATACGTTAAGTTGTTGTGCTCTTTATATTTCAAATTTAGACCGGGCAACTTCTTTCATGATTACTGCAACGTGTAAGAACAAGTTCAACACATGATTCAAAGTAATTGTCATTGGCATCCCAAAGCAAGTAAAGTTTGAGTATTCATCTGCTTACAGGTATTATTTTCACTTTTCCGGCCACTATGATTTTTTAGTTTTAAGAGAATATGCTGCTTTGGTAACATGAGTTTGGAGATCATTGAGGTTATTCTGCATTTGTGTTAAAGCTTAAGAACCGTTTTCCTCGTAAGCGTATAAACTGTTTGTCAAAATGTCTGAATGAGCGTTTAGGTGTATAAGAGAAGAATCTGTTAATACTATCAGTTGGTTACTTTATTACATCCGATAAAAAATCGGACAATGGAGGGGAAGGAAAGCGACAGATTAACTTTGTTTGTTCATAACGTACCACCTAGATACCATTGGAGTGGGTTGAGACAACTTTTCGGCAGGCATGGAGATGTGGTTAGCTCCTATATAGCAAGGAAGAATGACAGAGTAGGGAAACGTTTTGGGTTCGTTAGATTTTCCAACAGAAACGATGCAATTAGAGCAACCCAAAGATTAAATGGATTCTGGATATTTGGGTACCGTTTATCAGTCAAAGAAGCTCGGTAGCCAGAGCTGGAAAACGGTTAGACCATCCACTTCCAAAGTAACAAACTCGATAGAACATGAATAGAATAGTATTACTCGAGCAAGTTTGATGGAGAAAGGAAGAATGAGCATTAGAATTATACAGGGGGATATAGATGAAGACGTTGTTCGCAAGCTTCAGAAATGCCTGGTAGGAACGATGGCGACAGTTTGTTCTTCAAGTCAGGTGGAAGATAGGTTAAGCGCATGCGGCTTAGGAGAAATAAGGACCAAATTTCTGGGAGGGAGAGACTTCTTAATTGAGATAGAGGATGAAGACTTATACAGGATCATGAAGGATCACAGCTGGTCGTATTTAAAGGAAGTATTCCTGGAAGTACAACCATGGTCAGAATCGTATAGACCATCTCAAAGAGTAACTTGGATTAAACTATTTGGTGTGCCGTTGCATTGCTGGAATCATACCACGTTCAAGAGGATAGCTGAGCAATGGGGTGAATATTTAGCAATGGGAGAAAATGCTTTTCAAGCAATGGGCTGTGAGGAGATGACGATTCTCATTGCAACGAACATGAGAGAGTCAATTGATGAAGTTATCGATCTTGAAGCTGGTAGAGACATTTAAAGTTAGAGTTCTGGAACAAATGATATGCAGAGGTGTTACAATTGTTCGAAAGCAAAAAGAAAAAGAGTGTCCGGTGGTTGTTGATTCAGAGTCATCGTCAGGAAGAACCAGGGTCTCATCGGAGGAAAAAAGCAACGAAAGGTGGATTGAGGAAGCCGAAATTCAATTAAGTTGCATGGGAAATATACTTAGAGGCGGTTTCTTGTCGGGTGAGGAGGCGGTGGAAAGAAACATTGGTGAGGAAGCAATTAAGGGTCTGAGAAACAATGATGATGAAGCTGGGATTGTTCAGAAGCAAAGTAATGTTGCGGTGGGCCATGAGGAGAGAGAGGAATTAGAAGTTAGTAAGAAGTTATTTAATCCAGTATGTGTCAACGAAGATATAAAAGATAAGTTAGAAGAGTTGTCTTTTTGGGAAGGACAATCAGATACTCGGGAAGTGGAGGATGTGTTTTGTATGGGCCCTAATTATATAGGTGTTAACAAAAAAAGTAAGGGGGAGGAAGGCAAAGAGGATGGGGTAACAGCAGAACAAATAGGGGGAAAGCCCAATTCAGGGAAAGAGTGGGAGGATCTGGAACAGAGGTTCAATGTTTCAACCTATTTGAATGAGGATATTCTATTTTGCAAAGCCAGACAGAACCAAAAAGAAAAGCGGGGAAAAACAAAAAATATAGTTCTTTACAAAGCATTCAGGATAAATTTACAAACATCCCAGGGAAGAATAAAAGATGTCGAATAAAGAAAAATAAGAAGAAGGTAGAGTGTGAATTCGACTAAATTAGAAGGCATATCTTTATCCGATTCTGATCTTCAAGCAAGATGGATGATCCAAAAGAGAGAAGCGATGAAAACTTTACAGATTGGAAGAGAATTAGGAATAGAATTTAAAGGTTCAGAAGAGATTTTGGTTCGGGAAATTTTGGCTAGCGAGGCATCGGTAGGAGTATCCCAATCCCAATCCATTGCCTTTTAGTTGAATTGCAGGGAGTAAAATTTCGGGTTTAGAAAATTTCAGTCAAAGAAGAAGTTTGCAGGTTGTAGGTTTACTATAGCGGGACTGAGTGGTTATGGAGATGTTCCGACAGCATATTGCTTGGTAATCTTAATGATGTCGTTTCTGTTCAATCTAATTGGAGAAGGTCTACGTTTCTTATCCACAAGTATAATGACCTCATCTACGTCCGGCATCTCCACCTTGTAAACTTTTTCTGTTGTTCTGTTGACAGAGACACTCTTTTGCTCTACTGGTTTTTGTTGATCTTGCTTTAAACTTATTCCATCATTCTCTCTCTGTAACTAGAAGGCTGAGGGGGAGTTTTTTGTAGTTTTTGTTGTTGGATGATGGTTGTGTGTTTTCATACTGAATTGAGTTGGGGTTTGTGTGTTTTCATGCTGAATTGAGTTTTGGTTGGTGTTGTATGTTTTTTGTCTGCGCTGGATGCTGTCGCTAGTGTTTTGAGTTTTGATTATGTAGGTATCTTTGGGTAGTTGGTGAGCATTAAGCTTATTTGGAGAATGGGGTGAAGTGTGACTTGAGAAGATGGATTTGAATCTCTTTGTGAAAACTTTATCGGCAGAGAATTGGTCGGGTTTGTAATTGCGATATGCTGCATTTTTTTAATTGTTTGGTTCAATCGCTTTTTAGATGATAGTCCGTAGAAATCAGTTGTTGAGTTGTAACTTTTCCTCCAATTAGGTATAGGGAGGTTTTTAATGAGGCACACAACTTAGGTCTTGGGTTTTGCTTTTTCATATCCTTAATAAAACATATTTTGCTGAGCAAAAAAAAAAAATTCGTCTTCTTTTTATTTCTATACATTTAGTCATTCTTCTTTTTAAATTTAACATAGTTAAAACTCTTCTGTTAGATTCCCTAATATAAAATTTAGAAAGAAAAAATATTAACGGTGTTAATAATTGGATTTAAATTTTTAATTTTTGAATGAAGAGAACTAAATTCCTAGACATAAAAATACGAATATTAAGTTCCAACTAAAAATCAAAGATTATATTATTTTATTTATTTAATATACCTATTTTGTTAATGCAGGCTATGACAATTGCAAATATGTTTGAAGATTCGGATGAGAAGAAGACCAGTTATAACTTATGGTTGAAGATTTTACTTTACAATAAATAATTTCGAAAGCGGATCAATCTAGTTAATCAAAATTATTTACAAATAAAAAAATTTTATTTTTATTTTTTAATTGTCTATTAAAATAATTTATGTTACAGTTAGACTTCTAGTCTAGTTTATAGTTTTTCTCTATGAACCGAAAAATAAACGTTGTAATTTTACTCGAACCAATAATTTATTATAACAATAAGAGGATGTTTTTAATTTACATTTTCAATCAAATTCAAATAAGGATCTGTTAATATGTTAATCAAATTCTTATGTTGGATTCCCAAATGTGAATTTATAAATAAAAAATATATATTAACTAAGCTTATATATAACTAAAAATTGATGTAATGGATATGAATTTGATAGAAAATTTTGGCTTTGCTAATAATTAGATTTTTATTCTGAGATGGATTAATCAGTTATAAATTTCTTCATGGATTCACCATTGTTGGCATAAAAAATTCTTATATTGGATAATCCAATCCCAAAATTCTGATGAGAAAACTTTTGCCACCAATTTTCATCTGAATGACTTCATCTATTCTGGTTGTTCGTGACAAGAACACAAGGAGGGATATGTCGTTGAAATTTTTTTGTTGAGTAAGGTTCTTCCTAATGATATTAAGTCACCCCAAACTTTTGTTGACTTCAATCACTCTTGCAAACTTATCGTATTACAAACAGTACAAGTAACCAAACCAAGCACTTCTGAAGTTTCCAAGGCTATTCGTTCTCCACATGGACAGACTCAGGATTTTATGTTAGAGGTCAACCTTGAATTTATAAAAGAGAAAATAACCTCAGTGACCAAAAATCCCATATAATATACGATTTTAACCAACTTTTTCCAGATTTGCCAAAATGACCAACAAAATCGCAATGCGATCGCTAATTCGCAACGCGATCTCCATTATCGCAAATTCGCATTGCATTTCGCGTTGCGATGGTCTACAGTGTCGTTGCGATTTTCCTAATTCGCAATGCGAATAAGTAAATCGCAACGTGAATTGGGAAAATCGCAATGCGATACTGACTATCGCAATGCGATACTTACTATCGCAATGCGATAATACAAAATCGCAACGAGATACTGACTTTCGCAACGCGATAATACATAATCGCAATGCGATTTTCAAAGCGCCATTAGTATCCTGGCCAAGTATTTTATTTTTAAATTCCAAACACGAATATTAATATATTGGAACACTGAACCGTCCACAGTATATCCTAATCACAACTCATAACCTAAAACCTAAAATCACAACTCAGTCCCATCTCCGTCTCTCACTCTCTCACCCATCTCCGACGAAATCCGTCCCCATCTCCGGCGAAATCCATCTATCTCCATCTCTCAGAGCCACCCTCACAATCAGAAATGGAAAATCAACCAAATCAACCAATGAGGGTTAGTTTTTTTAATTATTTTCTTTTTGAAATTTTTGCATTATTATTAGGTTTTCATATTGAAATTGATGATAAGTTTACTGGTAATTTCAATAATAGATTAACCATTTCACTTAGATTGCTTATTAAATCAACCGAGAATCGCAACGCGAAAACGACAAAATCGCAACGCGATTTTATTCTCTCGTTGCGATAGTCAAATTCGCGTTGCGATAGTCATTTTCGTGTTGCGATTTTCATTTTCAGAAACTATTCTTCTTCTGCAAATTGAAACTTGAATGAATTGCATTACTTC